GTTTCATGATGACGAAGCCCATGACCGTTCTAGTAGACCAAACACCTAAAAATTGTGAGAAGCGATCAGAGAACAGAGCCATAACCATAATGCTTCTAGAATCAGATTAGCCTCAAGAGCTAGTCTTGAAAATCTTGGAATTGAGAGTTAAGGTTAAATCATTTAGATGTGTTAAGAAACTAGCTAACCTCCACGGCACTAAGAAAGGACTAAGAAAGCTTATCATGCCTATATAGTTGTTGACAGTATCACTAGAGCCTGTTTCCTATTTCCTTTGATACATCATTGGTGGTGTATAGTAACCTAGATTGAACCTAATAGTACTCTTACTGAGCTGTAGGTATTTAGGAACTTGTACCTCTGCTCTCTTCCAATGACCTGTCTTCCTCTTTTTCACACCGTGATCCTTGGCTTTTGAAATAAGAGGTCGGATCGATCGGGGTCATGCGTTTTGGATACAGAAATTGGGCTTTTCTCTTATTAGTCAAGTTGCTCGAGGCCAGAAAATTGGAATACATTGGTTAGATAGGATAATGCATCGAGCTTACCAATTAGGTATCCCTATCGTGTGTTGAAATAGGTCAAGGGCCTCCTAAACATGGTTGCAACTCTATAGATTCATCCTCAATGGAGATAAGGGACTACATAGGTAGACTCAATACTTAGCCGACACACGAATCCTTTACGTATATTCTTGAGAAAGGGTCATCAGTTAACTTGACACAGATGATATTTAGAGTCATGATGGCGTAATTCCCTCTTTATGAGATGATTATGATAACGTCACACCTCAAAAATCCAAGATACCAATGAAGGAACAGAAAAGGTGAATAAGTACCAAATTTTTAATGGGTTTGTGATGAGCATGAGAACCACTCAAAACTTCGAAAACTCTGATAGTTGTAAAATCTAAGTTCGAACTTCCTATAACCAAGAGAAAAGTTTGGGATAACTTACTAGGTTAGATGAGTCAAAAACCTTAAAGCATTTTAAATTCACCAAATACAACTTTTCTTTTTTATATGGAGTTAAAAGAGGAGGAGCGTCATCCTCCAGTATCAATCCTATGTGTTAGAGGTTGTAGTTTTTTTTATTTTTTCAACAATTTTATTTTATATGGTAAACTTAGTATTATTTGTTTTTCAATTGCTTGTAAAGTGATTTCAAATTAGGGTTTTTATCTTCATTTGATCAACAAAGTAATCCGAACCTTATTTTCTTTCACGGTGATTTCTTATCATCTTGACATTCTTGAGTATATTTAGATTTAAAAAATAAAGTTGATTTTAGAGTTAAACATTTAACTAGGATTTTGTATATTACGAAGGTTCTAAGGTTCAACATACTAGGATTACCATGAGATCTCAAATGAAATCAAACACTTAAGTTACCTTCCAAGGCTGATACTCTCGCCAAGAAGAACGGCAGAAGAAATAGTTGTAATGACCAGAATAATTGGCGTTGACATGGCTAAAAAAACTGGTCCTTTCTTCTTAATGACCCATGTTTGAAGAGAATATGTAACCCCAGTTGCCACTATTCCCTGCATATTATTGATTTGGTAAGTATGTATATAAAAATGGTGAAAAAAATGGAAAAAGTTGTCAAAATCAATCCCAGAGGGGTATTTTAGTCATTTATGTTCTCCATTAGAGGTATCAAGTGCCAAATTCAAATTTCAAATCATTATCAGAATCCTATGCATGCATGATACATTACAAATGGTATTAAAGCAGTATCTCTCCTAGTAAGATGTAAATAAAGGACGAATCAAGGGAGAAGCTAGTGGCCATTTGACGCCCTAATAAAGGATGGACGTGAACAAATTGATACCACATCCAAATGAAAGTAATTTTAAGGATAGGATCCTTGAGAAAGACTAAAAAGAATTGAAGTTACTATCTATACCAAAAAGGTGCATTTTCTTTTTGAGTGATTCGATGATAAGAACTCCAAAATTAAGCATGTTTAGCTTTGAGCAATTTTAGGTTGGGCAACTTCTCGAAAATTTTCCTAGGAAGCATGTAAGTGAAGATAAACAAATGTGAAACCACCCGTTTTGGTATGTGGAGATAAACTTCCCTCTTGAAAGTGATAATTAGGTAATGTTGTGTATGTGAGGATAGACTTTACTCTAAAAAGTGACCATCAAATGACACAATCATGTTGCATGAGATATAGGAGAATGTCAGAGTCAACCAACAAAATGACTTACACAATATGCGACCGAAAGAAGTCTAAGATTCCAAGACAATTTCCATTCGTCAAGGTTTCTCTCCAAAGCAATGGCAATAACGAACGATTGAAACGAGCTAACAAGGCATTGAAGACTAGTGAATAGAAGTGTCGAAGGATAACATTTCAGTACAAATGCCTGCGTTAAATCAAAGAACTCGTTATAAATTTTTACGATCCTTCATAAAAAGACATTAAAAATAATTATGAAGTAAGTACCTGAAGAACAAGTGATAAAGCCCACAAGGTATTTGAAGCCATCATTAGGAAGCAACCCTTAATCCAAGTTTGGGTTGAAGCAACATGAAGTGGATTTTGATGATGTTTTTGTATAGAAAAAAGGTGGTGATTGTTAAAGAATGTGAGTTGAGGGCCTTTGTAGAACACCAAAACCAACAAACCGCCCATACAAAACACTATTCCTCCCACCTTTGCTAATCCTACTATTGACTTTAGCTTCAACATCTCCACCCTACCAAACATTTTCTTTCCCTTAGAGATTAACAATGAGGAAAATATGGTAATGGAAATGCTTGAATGTAACGCTTTTAAATATCCGATAATATTTTTGGGTTGGGTTTACTGTAATAAGGTCAATTCTAAAAAGAATAATCATGTAGCAGTTGGAAAAGTGAAAAAAAAAAACAGACATAAGAATGTAGAGTGCTATTAGTACAATCAGAAAGGTCAATGTAGGGACCAAACATAGAAAGATGAGCGAGGATCTAAAAAGAGTAGCGAAACAAAAGGCTAATAATGTCCATGACTCCTTCGTTTGCATTAAATTGATATAGAGTATAGTAACTACACATATGAACTGTGTAACCCGATAAGAAATTTAAAATCTAATTTTTTTCTTTTATTGAGAGTCTTAAAGATCTAATTTAATAAAATTTAATTTCAAAATTATAAAGAGGAAAAAGTACTGGGAGAACTCTCCTAATTCAAGAAAATATAAAATAAAAAGGGTGGAAAAGAACAGTAAAAGACAATCTAGAAGGGTAGTTTGGTCATTCTTCCCTCCTCATAATCAAGCACCTAAGGAGGTTAGTAAAAGATAAGCAAAAGAAAAGAAAAAAAAGGAAAAGAGGACACGAGAAGAAAAGAAAAGAAGTAGAGAGAGAAAGAAAGTTATAAAGAGAGGGAAGTAACCGCCATATCAGTCGTGAGGAGTTTGATTCTAGTCGAGTTTCTTCATGAACCCTTCATAAAGTCTAGAGGAGAAGCATTCTGGACCTTTGAATCATCCAAAACCGTCAAGAAACGAGGAAAATCAAAAGATAAGTTCTTGAATCCTTGTTCTCGAATTTCTCTTAGATCCTTGAAGAATATTAGAAATTAGGTTCTGAAATTTGAGTATGTTAATCTAGGGAGTACTATGCCCAAAATCTATGAAGTAAGTTATAGACGATTCGACCAGAGATAGGAGTTCTAGCATTCGTCAAGATCTATGAGTGTTAAACTTTTGCCATGGGTCAGCATAAGAAAATTTAGATTCTCGACGCATGCCGCAAGACTTGGACCCATGCACTTGTTCTCAACGAACCAACTCGTTCATACCACGTGGCAACATGAGAGCGCACATCCTCCCCACTCTAGCGCGTCAGTACACATGTGTGGCTATGCACGTGGAAGACTCCTCTGGGACGTGGTGACATGTGACCCGCGCTTGAGACACATTTTGAAACTTGTTTGACTCTCGTTCGACTGCTTTTGGTCCCAATTTTGAAACTGGCCTAAATTTGACTTGATTCAGGATCTACCAACAAGTTTTCAAGAAATTTGGGGTTCTCAATTATCGGGAAAGTAAGCTTCGAAAGGCACGCTTCATCCTATAAGTAACTACCTAAATTTTAGAAAAGTGATACTTGTAAGGATCGCTAGTACAAACTAGCATGCGAGCATAATGTACCTAGGTGGTTAAAATATGTGTGATTAGAAAAACATAGAATAAACAATTTGGATAACTATGACACGTACTTGATAAAATTATGAAATTTCCCTTAGAACAAAATAATTGACAAGAATGCCTTATTTAATGTCTTCTATTGTGGTATGACGAAGGAAGTGATATTTTGATCTGTGTTTCGAGCTATTGATGGATGTTATCTCCCCATTGAGCTTGTTTGATTGTGTCTCATTTATGTTATCATTTCATGCACTAAGGGTTGGTAGGAATACCTTCTTAATAGATATCTCTGAATAGGTAGACACATTTGACGTGTTAAAGACAATTAATAAATATTTTTCCTCCTAAAGCATGCATCAAGAACTCAATTAAGATTACGACTCTATAACTAGTGCGGTTTACATGTAGAACTAGAGGTTAGACCTATGTGAACCTAGGGATTGGTTAAGCCGTAACCTAGAACTTCTTGGAATTGAGAAAATGGAATTTAAACTGCATGAATGCCCCTAAGAACCTAGTAGACCTCCACGGTGTCTTATCATGATTTAAGTAGCTTACAGAATTACGAAACTAGTTGAGTTACTATTGAGTGTACTGTCGGGTCAGGGCTGACGCTTTAATCCTCTTAAACTAGTTTTTGAGAAGAACTAGGGACTACATGGATAGTTAGCTCAAGAAATGGACCCCTATCGAGTGAAGAAATAGGCGAACTTGTAAACAAGTCTTGGTTGGACAAGAGACTACGCGAATAGGTGTTAGGATGAGTGTAGAAATGATTCAAGGCTGACGCTGTGACTTCGTAATCCGATCTTGGAAGAGATTAGAGACTACGCGGGTTGGTGGTTTAGTATGAACACTTCTATTGAGTGTAGGAATAGGTCAAGGCTGACGTCATGATGCCGTAAACTAGTCTCGATGAGGGACAGGGGATTACACAGGTAGATGATCAATGAAGAATCAATTGGAACTTCGTATAGACTAAAGGAAAACTGTAGGAACCTATTAGGAGAAAGAAGCGATAAGAGCCTACAAGTAGATTGTTTACTTAGTATATTTTTATACTTATCTCTTTTTTAAGTACTAGTCAAAGTAGAGAGGTGCTCTAGAGTTACACGGTTACTAGTCAAGGTGGAGAGGTGCTCTAGAGTTGCACTTTTAGAGGGGTGTCAGTCATTTCAAAGTGTCAAGCTTCGTTTTAAATTTTTGAGGCTTTTGTAATTTGTTTATAATTTCCCCGTTTGTAAAATTTTTGTGTGTCATCTTATGTACTCTAGTTGGTTCTTGTCTTTTTTCATTCGGAGAAACTTCAATTGTAATCTCTTGATTCTTCTATTCTTTATTCTAATCCCAACTCACATTTTAATCCACTATTATATCCCTTTTTAAGTGAAATCTTTTCATTAGGAGGGTTATATCGTTTATTTGTTTTTGATTGAGTACAATAACCAATAAAAATGTATTTTTAAGATATTTCATTAAGCTTGGAATGAAATTGAGGATTTATGAAAGCATAAGCAACACAATCAAATACTCCTATGGTTTTTCTTCCACGTCATGCTTAATAATAAGGAGTTCGATTCACGAAAGTCTTTGTTGGCGAAAGATTTAATAGATAGACAGATACTAGCTATAACTTCGACCTAAAATTAATCTGAAAGTCTCCTTACTTGTAAAATACTTCTTGTCATCTCTACAATAGTTTGATTTTTTCGTCAATGATTCTATTTTGTTCTAGAGTTTAAGGAGTTGTTAAATCCCTTTGGATGCCCTTTTCTTCATAAAATAGATTGAATTCTTTATATATGAACTCGTCACCTCTATCTACGTGAAGAACTTTAATGTTGCAACCACTTTAGTTCTACACGTAACTTTAAAATTCTGAAACTTCTCAAACGTTCCTATAGAAAGTAAACTCAACTCATGCAACTATAATCATCAACTAATAGTAAAAATAAATACTACCACCAAAGGATTTAGTTTGTATTTGTCCACATAAATCAACATGAATTAGTTCTAGACAATCTGAAGCTCTTTTAGCTTTTCGAATAGAATAGGACTTCCTAGTTTGCTTATCATAAATACATCATTCACATAAACTAATTGAATCAGTTTTTGGTAATCCGAAAACCATACATTTATCTCTGGGTGGCTTCAAGCCCCTTCATATGAAGATGCCCATATCCCAGATACCAAAAAGTCGAGTTATCTTTTGTGCTAGCAGCAAAAGCAAAATTTCTCAGGTTAGAAACAACCAATGGAAACACCTTATTTGAAATCATGACAATTTGAACTTTGTGATCTAATTTCTTATTTTAATGACACTTATGTTGTCATCGAATTAAATGGAATATCTTCCAGTCATTAATTGTCCAATAATCAATAAATTGTAGACTAAATCAAGCACAAATTGAACTCTATCTAACAGTTTTATGTTTCCGTGAATGGTTGCAACTTTCACCGTGGTTTTTTCTTCAACTTGCATCTCTCTTGTATTGTTGAGTTGTACCTTAATTCTTTGCATCTCATCAAGCTCCTAGAGTAAATATTTGGTGTTTGTCATATGGTTCGAGTCTCTGATATCAACAAACCATATATTTTCTTTGGGTAAATATCAATACAAGTCATAAAAAGTCTTTTCTTCTTCTACATTTTGTGTTGTAAAATTCATATATTGATCTTTATATGAAGTGCCTTTGTCTATTATTTCTCTCTCTACCCCTGTTACCATGACTACCATGGTTGTTGCGAAATCCTCCTCTACCACAACCTCTACTTGCTAAACAAACATTTTCTCCATGGTTGTTGGTTGTCTCCTTCACTTGAAGTGTCTTTTTTTTTCATTCCTTTCTAATGGTCTCTGAATTCTTGACTCATGAATTTGAAGCGAGCCTAACAGTTCGATAAATGAGAATAATAGATCTTTAGTTTTAGCTTCTTCTATAGTAGCCATGCTCAGACTTTGAAGTTAAACTTCTCAACACCTCTACAACAATTGTTTCCCTTTAAATTTTCTTTCCACTGAAAACGAAAGTGTACTTTGTTGGTATAGGTAATAACTATTAATTCTTCTATTTTTTTTTTTTAATTATCATATTCTTAGAATCAATCTCATTTAGATATGGTCCTGGTTCATTCATATATCCCTCGTGACCACAATAAATCTTTAATTCATCACTTTCTTTATGAAGTTGTAGCCATCATATTCTCACAATAAAAGCTTTTGAACCCAAAGAGCACATATTTGAGTGTGTGCTTCCTTTTGATTAAACCATAGGAAGAAAGGTCCATTATGGATTCCTGAAGATCTGCTCCCAAGGTAGCAACTTTGGAATTTTGACTGGTGCTCTTTTACCATTTGATTCTATCAGTATCGTCAATCCTTATTATGAAAATGATATTCATCAAATGAACACGTTTTCTAATCTCAATCCTTTTTCAGCGAGATCTAGACATAGGTTTTTAGTACGTTAGAATATTAGAGAGAAACCAAGAAGTTTGGGTTAGTGTTAAAATAAACTGCCCCATTAGCAAGGTTTGAATGAATATTGAGAGGCAAGACTATTGTCTATAAGCCTAAATAACGGAACGAGACCTATATTGTAACAATCCATGTTCAGGATTCCACACTTGATTGTCCTAATATTCTCATGTATTCACTTTAACACAGCTACGTTACTTGTTTCTCGCTTCTAAAAGTGAAGACTATCCTCACAGATTAACACAGATCTTTTAGAAAAAAATTTAGGTCATCTAACATAAAATTGCTCCAAGCAAAGCAGAATTAACTCTGGAGTTCTTATGATTGAGTCACCGAAAGAAAAGTGTACCTTGTTGGTATAGGTAATAACTTTTTTCTTAGTTATTTTATCCTCAAGATCATTCTCAATTCAAATGTGGTTTTGGTTCATTCATGTATCTCTTTTACTCAAATATCACTATATGAACATAATTAAACTCTTCACGATATTTGATGGTTGTATCTCTTGAGAAGAGATGTATTGAATCCAAATATCTATTCACAAGGATATTTTGACACAAATGTTCAACAAAGTTGAAGGTTTTATGGTGGTTGATTGACTTTGAATCTATCTTTGGGGTGTTTTAGTCCTAAAGTTCCTTATAGATCTTGAATCTTGAGGGCTTCATTTGTAATGAACTGGTATGTGCAAATTGACGATGATCTATGTTGATTCTTTATTTCTTTATCGGATCGCTCCTTGAGGGGAGCTTTCTTTGAAATCATTGTTCTTAGAAGCTTGGTCATAATGATAAACTTAAAATATCATTGTTGAAATAATCTTAACTTAATCCTAAAATGCTATAAACTCTTAAACTACTTCCCAAGTACTTAACTATTCGATTCACTTTCACCAACGAAAACCAAAGCAAACGAATAAGTGAGACACGAATACTTTATTCTATAAGTTTTGAAGTAAAGGTCTAAAAAATAAATTTATTTTTGAGGTATAAAAAGTATGGATTTGATTGGCTCTATTGTCATGTGATTGACTAGCTATTGAGAATACAATGCTTTGATACTTTAACCGATGAGAATTAGAATTTGAAGGTTGAAAGAAGGTTTTGTTACAGAGGTAAGGTTAAAAAAATCAAAGCGTTTAACATTGTATTTTATAGGTCCATGAAAAAATTTAAAAGTGTCTAACCAGTCTATAAACTTTTAATTTTGTGTCTGATATATCCCAAAAATAAACTTTTAAGAGTTTACAAATTTTTAGATACGAAATTGAACCTCTAAGTCTCATTACATATAAATTTTAATTTTATATAGCTTTTAGATCAATGGATTTTTTTAAAATTTAAACAAGAACTTATTGAAAAGCTTATTAGACATTTTTAAGACACATAAATCTATTAGACATAAAATTTAAAGTTTTAAAAGCTATAACGTCCTTAATTTGACCTAAAATTTAAAACCTAATAACTTAATAGATACAAAATTATAAGTTCAGTGACCTATTAAATTATTATCAAAATATCACGAACATATTAGACATAATATTAATAAGTTAAGTATCTATTGACCTTTTTTTAAAATTGAAAAACGTATTAGACATAACTCTAAACATAAAAAGAAGCTCGTAGTTTAAAGATGTGTAGTTTACCTGAATAGAAGGGCGAAAAGAAACGTAATAACAGGAATAGCATTTATAGTTGCTGCAGCTAAACTGGCTGATGTATAAATAAGAGCAACTCCCTGGAGATCAAGACATACCGTTATCCTGCAAATAGTTCATTCAGGTTAAAAAATTATATTCACCAACTTTATGAAATTATGAGTTGATTATTTTAAGTGAAATTAAGGGTCTAAATGAGTTGAGAGATGTGACCAATCTTATTACTCAATCTAGGTTAGATTTTTTTCTTTTTGGATTGGGTGATTTTTTAAAAAATAGAAAACTTTAGTCATTTCTGGTTAGTGGTGAGCTGTGACGGATAAATGTTTGATATTTAACATGGTTCGAGAAGAAGGAAGATTTTTTTTTTTTTTTTTTTTCTAAAAGAAGAAAGAATAACCTGACAACCTAACCGGAAAACAAAAGGTTGGGTTAAGTTGCGTTTTGAACTCTATTCGAGCGGCTCGAGTCCCAATCCAATCAACCTTTTATTTTCAAGTTGGTCCAAAAAAAATTTTCAACTCAAAAGAAATGATCCAGCTCTAGACAAGATCGAGAGCTTAGAACGAACATAAATTTTATCTTACCCTAAACAAAGAAAGGATGGATGGAGAAATAAAAGCATACCCAAATAAAGAAAGCATAAAGATCTTGGCGAAGGTTACAAATGAGAGGGGAGGCGCAGTTTTCCTGAGAAACAAACAGAAAATTAAACAGAGAAGCTAAGAAAATGAAGAAAGAAAAGCAAAATTGTAGACTAAAAAAGAGTTACCATTCAAAATACAAAGCGATGGGTAGCAAGAACAGTGTGGCTATGGCTTGCCTATAGAAAACAAAGATAAAGTTGTTCATTCCGCCATCAAAGGCAGCTTTGGACAGCAGAAACATTCCTGCATATATGCTGTGTCTCAGTAACACTGCAAAATAAGGCTTCTTTTCCATCTCCCTCAAACTCTCTATGTTCATTGCCTCATAAACATATATCTTCCAAATTTATAGTGTTTTTCGTTCCTATGGGCCAAAAACAATGATTATTTTTGAAGCATATGGAATGGCTTTATCCATTAATTATTAAGTTATCATTTCCATTTCAAAAGGAATCAACCTTGATATGAACTGCATAGAAAAATACAGACGTTTTGTCGAAACGTGTATGACATCTTTAGTTTAAATGGCAACCACTAAAGTTTTGTTAAATATTGCATTTTTAAATTCATTCATAATATCTTTACAATTTATACATTCACGTTTTGTTCAATTATTTTGTTCATGGTAGACTTAACCTTTGAAAAATATAGATATTTTAATTTAAAATTTCAACAAAAATTATACCGATAACAAAAGCTCTTTAATGGAACAGTATGGGTGTGGGTATATACAAGTTGTGTTGAACAAAACTGGTATGCTTGGTCTAATTGGTGAACTAAACAACCCGAATAGAGTTTACAACTAAACCAAACCAAACCCAACCCTTTATTTTTGGATTGGGTTGTCGGGTTTCTTTTTCAAGACAGTTATTTTAAAAAATCTTATGTATTAATACATGTTACATTAATAACAAAAATTTGATAAGCTCAAAACCAGGGTAGCGTTGGATTTAGTAGTAACCCTGTTTTTGGGTTGGGTTGGCTGGATTGTTCGAACTAAAAAATGTCGACCAATTTTCAAAATAATCCATCCAATCTAAATAAAATAATGGAAATGAAAATGAAATTAAAACGTTGCTTCTTGAAAATACAAGTAAAAGAATAGTTTCTTAAAATTCAAGGATGAAGGACATGGATAAAATAGAATAGCTGTGATAGATATTAAGAACAATTCTCCATATCAAGTCAAAGATTAACAAATATATCTCAATATTGGTTGTGTTTGGGTGACCATCTGTATTCTAATCATTCTTCAATTTCATAATATTTAATTGCACTTGATTCATGTCACACCACCCTTTTTAATTTATAGACTGAATTTTAAGTTGAGGTCAAAAATGAAAAATGGTTACAAAATTTTCATAAACCTAAGAAAAATTTCGTCAAAAGCAACATAAGGGCAAAGTGGTCATTTTGACCCGTAGGGGTCTGAAAGACCCCTAATCAAATCGTATAGGCTAGGTTTGAAGGAGAGGAAGGATGTGAAAAATGAAAATCCTCTTCTAACGGCAACTTTGAGTCAGAATTTGACAAAAGTTTCCTTTTAAATTGTTGCTTAGCGGATATTAAGGGAATGAACACTTGGATCATTCTAATCCATCAAGTGAACCCGAGGTAAGCTTTTGAGTTTTGATCTTGAATTTTCCTCAAGTTAGGTTTTGAATTTTTAATAAGATCATCTTTACATGAAGTCAGAGTTTTAACGAGCTCCAAGAACAGTGAGTTTTCTAGCTTCGAGATTACTTTGGATGTGTTTATTTATCTTTAGAATTAATGAAATGGAATGAGAATAATTTTGATGGAAAGTTGGATTAAAACTCTACAACTTTGATGATTGAATCAAGTTGATTATATTTGGAAAAACTTTATGGATAGGCGACGGGGGGCGGAGACACTCATCATATGATGAGGCAACGAGTGCGTCAGGCCGTGTGGGTGACACGTGTCAAAAAATGAAATGAGCAACGTGTTCAACGCCTATCAAAGACATGCATCGTAGATCTTATTTGCTCCGCTCTACTCAAACTACTACACCAACCCAAATTGAATGCTTGTCCATAACCAACATAGACAACCAACATAAACACACCTATTTGTGGGCTCCACATGTCATGTGATGAGTACATATACTCAACTCAGGTCCATGTGGCTACTTGGGCGTGAAGGTACAAATATTTCCCTTGTAGCGCGTGAGTGAGGTACTGGTCTTTAGTCCATTCGACTCCTGTTCAACTATTTTTTGTTTCGATTTTGATACTAACACTATGACTTAAATTATGACTTACCAGTGAATTCTCTAAAATTTACCGCTCCTAACGTGCAAAATAAATTTAGCTTAGAAAGATACTCACCATGCATGTAAGTAGTTGTTCGAGCCTTTTTTTTTTTAGATAGTACTTGATCGTTAGAACGTACTAGCATGTGAGCCTATTTTTACTTCAGTGTTAGAATATGCATGTTTAAGATCTTATAATGAGATTTTTGAATGAAAAAGCAATGTATTTATAGAAAATTATTGAAATGCCTTTAGGACGATAATTTATGATGCATGCCAACTTTAATGCCCTCTACGGTATTAAAATGGAGGATGAAAAATTTTGGTCTATACTTCGAGTGATTGATGAATGTTATCTTCCATTAAACTTGTATGAATACATGAAAAAGTATGTTTTTCTCCAAGTGATTGATTACGTGTGCTTCCTGTAGATTGTGTTTATTTGCACCGAGCTAAGACTAGGGTGTTAGAGTTAGACCAGCTAGATAATGACGTAGGGCAAGACACCTCCAATAGACTAAAAACCTTCAAATCTGGAGCAACGAACAAAGACCCTAGTGCTCCGGAACTAAAAAGACTCCGGAGTCAAAACAGAGTAACTTGAAAGTCCACATCAAGCTACCTACGTGCCCTAAGATCTGGTTACAAAAATATATATATGAATTCAGCGAGGTCGCTTGTGACTCGCAAGAATTCCATCAAGCACCGAAATTCTCGCGCCTCACTTGAACCCACACCCTCGCGACCCCCACGAAACGCTAAGCACCCCCCACTACCCTCAGCCACGCTCCCAGAGTACCTGTAAGAGAAAAACACAGAGAGAAAACGAGAGAGAAGGAAGAGATTAAAACACACAAACCCAATGCTAGAACGAACGAACCGCGCCACGAAAGAGGTCTTCGGTGAATACACGCACAACTAAGGTATGTTTCACGCCTTAACAGTGTCTGCTGGATCAAATCGGGTGAGGAAGACGACTCCATCGGATCTGGATCCGGGTCGGATCACTTGCACTAAACCAACTTGCCTCGCCCCAACCCAGAGCCAATTCCATCTTCTTGGCCCGTTAAGCCGCCCAACCCAAACCTGTAGCAACCTAACGCCCGAGACCCAAACTACATGTTCGGCTCACCTGCAATAACCTAACGCCCGAGGCCCCAATACCCTTGTTAGGCCAGACTTGCAACAGCCACGACCCGCATGCGTCAGCGTCTCATTGCANCCACGTGTCACCCTGCGACAAAAAGAACCCCTCGACTCCAGCGGCTTAAACGGCTCAACTCGGCTTACATGGCTCCACAGCTTGGAAATCAGCTCCTCAGCTTGGTAAAGGACAATAATACCGTTTTCCCACCCTTTTGACCCTTTAGAAGCGGATTTTGATCCTAATTAAGGTGATTGAGGTTAGTACGATGCTATATTCCACAAACTCAAGTTGAATTTATATTAGATTTGGGAAATACTAATGAAAGACAACGAACCACCTAATAAGAAACAATCCTCGGCGACATTTGGAGCAGCTTCGTGGAACGGAAGCTTAGCAAACTCAAATTTAGGGAAGTGCCAGTTAAAGGCCAAACAAGTAAGTGGCCTTACTATAGGATAGTTTAAACCATTGCTTGATGTATGACAACACGTGTCTAATGGCTCTTGAACGTGTCTTTTATGCTTTATTTTTATGATGCCTTGATGATTATTTATAATGTATGATGTATGATAACGTGTATGAGTTATATGATAACGTCTTATGATATTTTACGATGATTATAATGTATTTATGATGATTATGATGTATTTATGATGAAGTTGAATGATGATGATGATGCATGCTAATATGACGACGTAAGATGATGTTATTTTCTTAATATGATGTTATTTTCCATATTAAGATAAGAAGCATGTTATGAATATCATATTGCATTACGAAGATAATTTTCATAGGCCACAACCCTAATTAATATTAATGATGATGAAAGAATGAAGACTAATGCTTATATAATACTTATAGTAATATAAGGATGAAATTAAGGTTGTCATAAAGATGCTTTTAAGAAGAGAAATCAGAAGGACCTCATGCACTTCTCTATGTACATAAATATCGGGATGCCTCTCCTTTTACGATGATGAGTACGGATACTTACATTGCAATGATAATGGTGATCATGACGCGCATGATACATAGGGGTCTGTGGAGAATTGATTAGGGTTTAGTGAGGAAGAAAGTAAAAGGAAATAAAGAAAAGGGTTTTAGAAAAAATAATTTTCGGACCTACTTCCATCTGACCACTTGGAGTCATTTTCTGATCGTGGTTCCTTCATGAAAATTACTCAACTCTCATTCGTCTGTCTTTCGCAACGATTTTGATATTCATTTTATCCTAGGTTGAATTAGGACGTATCAATTTTTTTTTAAAAATTCGAAGCTTATAGAAGTGGAAAGACGTGCTTGAAAAGGCACACATCACCTAAATAAGTAGTTATTTGAACATTCTTCTAGAACTACTTTTAGGGATTAGCCTACTTTTAGGGATTGCTAAGACATGCTAGCATGTGAGGATATCTTGTCTTGGGTGGTTAGAATATACATGATTAAGACCATATAAAGACAATTTCGAGTGAGAATGCAATGTATGTTATAGAAAATTATGAAAATGCATGAATTTTGGGATGCACATTATTTTTAGTAATTTTTGTTGTGCTAGAAAGGAGGATGAGATGATGTGATTTGTGTTGTGGGTGATTTATGGATGTTATCTCCCTCGAGTTTGCTTGATTTTTTCCATGCTTTAGGTGTCTTATAAGATTATCTCCTTAAAAAGCATGCATGAATGTATTATATTTAGAATAGGGAACTAGAGCTAGACTGGTTTCATGTGACCTAGGTCACTATATTTTTAGTAGACCGATCATCCTAGGATCATGAGAGACAATTAGATGTGTAGATCTTTGTGCAACCAAAAATTGGATTAGGTTAAGAGTTATTATTGAGTGGATAACATATTGAGGCTACTTGAAGAGTTATTATTGTGTATAGAAGTAGG